TCATCAGGTGAAAAAGCCAACAATCCTGTCTTGTACAACAGGTTTTAAAGGAGAGAAAGACCACTGGAGAAGTAGRAGGACGATCTGTGTGAAAACACACGAAAGTGGCAAGACAGAGATTGAAATGTTCGACTCAGCAATCCTGTTGATAAGGAACCCCTACAAATCCCTGATGGCAGAGTTCAACAGAAAGTACGCTGGGCACCTGGGCTACGCCACTGACCGCAACTGGAAGAGCAAAGGTGAGTGCTACCCCAGACAGGCTGCTTGGAAACCCAGCTCCTCAGTGTGCTGGGAAGGGGGATCCACTGGGCCTAAATGAGCACTGCAAACAAATTCAGCAGGATTTGAGACCCACTGCAGCTGAGATCAGCCCCAAAACCTCTGACACCTCTGGGAGCAGTGTGGCCRTGCTGTATGGGCACCCCCAGAGAGAAGGGGAGCACAGCAGCAATGCCACAGGCACACAGGAGTGTCCCTGGCACTGCCCTGCTGGGCATAGGAAACATGGCCAGGTACAACACTACTGTGCACAGCCCATTTGCTGGGCTGAGGTGAAGGAAATGGGTCCCTGCTGCACTCAATAACCATGAGAAATCTAAGATTTGGAGGTTCCAATGGAGCTGTTGACATTTTGTGAAGGAAATTTTACAGCACTGCACACGCACTAGTGCACTGCAGATAAATAAGGGTAATAGCAACAAGTGAACTCTAGATTCAGTGTCCCCTGAACACATGGAAAGATTTCAGAACCTGCCTGCTACACTTCACGTGTTTGACTGGCAAGCTGGCTGGTGRCTGCACTTTCCCCACTGCTGCATTCAGACTGCAGCAGAAAAGCCATTTGGTTTCCACTTTTCCTTGTGCATATTTGAGGCATTGCAGCTGTGTCTTGGCAGAGGGCTGGGGGGAAGTCACAGCTGTGTCACAGCAYATTTCTTTCCCAAGTTCATGTATCACCTTTGATCAGTCACAACTCAAGACCTATTCATCAAAAACTGACAAAATATCCCCCAGAAAAATGTCTGATGGGAATGGCTTTCCATATGGCAAAATACACATTGTTACATTTCAGCTACAAATGCTCTTTGTCCAGCCCAAAAGCTTTCACTAGGACTGTCCTGAGTTTTAGGAAATTAAATTATCATAGACAGCAAATAGAGATCAAGGTATCATCATATATGATGTCTAAGGCAAAGGAAAATTGCTGAAATGCAGCGTGGCTAACAGTGTCCCATTTTCTGCTCATCCAGAATGGCCAGATTTTGTGAACAGCTATGCCTCCTGGTGGGCCTCCCACGTCCTGGAGTGGCTCAAGTATGGGAAGCGCCTGCTGATTGTCCACTATGAGGACCTAAAGCACAGCCTKATCCCCAAGCTGAAGGAGATGGTGGAGTTTCTGAATGTCACAGTGACAGAGGACCGGCTGCTCTGTGTGGAGAACAACAGGGATGGGAATTTCAAGCGATCTGGTGCTAAGCAAAAGAATTTTGAGCCATTCACCCAGCAAATGAAAGATCTYATCAACAGATACATCCTGACAGTGGATGAGGCCCTAAGGGGAAGAAACTTCTCRGGGCTGCCCAGAGAGTATGTGCCAAGATGATAGGCTGGTATCATGCTGCTGTGGTTAAAAATGAAGTATCTTTTTCTTTAAAAAAACAGAAAAAAAAAACCCAAACGAACAAAAAAACCGTGAACAAACAAACATGAAGAAAAAAAGAAGACCAGAGCTCTCTAGCAGTTACAGCAAAGTATAACAAAGATACTTGTGGAGGCTGCTAAGCAGTGCAAATTCTCTCCACTCTTGGGAGAGGAGGTGGCCCCAGCATCCCCACAGTGAGGCACAGAGCTGGGACCTGTAGGAGAGCACAGAGCAGGGCCAGTGGGGAATGCCTCGGTTTTATCAGCCCCAAACAGCCCCAAACCTGGCTCCAGGGGCACGAGGAGAGCCCARGGGGTGGCAGAGAAGGGGGTTCAATACAGGTTTGTGCATCTCCAGCTCTCCACTGGAGAGTCACAGTCTGGGGGACAAGAGGGCCAAATGTCACCGTGGTCAGTGCTGCTGGTTCTGGAAATGGCCACAGCCCAGCCATGCTGGAGAGCCTGGATCACCTGGAGAGCAGGGACAAGGACAGTGAACCTCAGCTCTTCAGCCCAGCAGGGCTGGGACCCCAGCTCCTACCTCAAACCTTCATCCTGGAGCAGCTCCAAGGCAATTCCTGGAGAGCCACGGCTGCTTTAGAGCTGCCCTCTGCAGCCACCCCCAGC